TCAAGTAGAAACAGAACGTAAGTATTGTTTAATGATATTTAGTATATCCTAAGAATTCCAGTTTGAACGGATAAATCCATTCGAAAGTATTGAACTTTTTTTCGGTCTTACGAAGATCTATTTCATATTTCAAGGATGCATGAGGATATTCATCCTATTTTTAACTGACAATCATATTTTATGAGTTTATTTCAAATTTAGCTGCACCTGCATCTATTCAACCAGTTATCTCAAGTACTACTACATTAATGGATGAATTAATGGCAGGTACAAGACGAAACAATAAAAAACATCATAGTAGTCATTCAAATTCAAGAGAATCTCAAGTTTGTTCATCAGTTATTTTTGTATTGAATAAAACATTTGAATTTAATTTTTAGACACTTGATTTATTAGAAAGATTTCGTGTAAAAGTTCATACTGCTAAAGATGAACAAATTAATGAACCTTTAAATGAAACACAATCAGAACAAATAGCTGATAAAGTTCAAACACCATTTTTAAAACATACTTTTGTATCTCAAGAATTATTAGATAATGTTCAAGATATTTATACGAATGCTGAATTATTAACTGTTTATGATCCAAGAAATCCAATGACTAAACGACGACGAGATGAAAGTAGTATGTTACTTCATCAAGAAAAACATAAAGGACATACATAAAACAATGTTGTTGTTGTTTTGTTCATCTGTGTATTATGTAATTTCTTTTCTTGATGATATAAAATAAATCGTTCCATAAAAAATATCATAAAAAGAAAGGAATTATTTTTCTTTATTCTATTCAGATAAATTATGCAACATTCATGTTCACATACATGTCAACATATTGATGAAACAAATGTTGGTCAATGGAATTTATATACAAAAATTGATAAATATAATTTACAATGTTATAATGAAAAACATGATGGTTCAGGTAAAGATGTATTTCGAGCATGGGAAGAACGACTTGATCGATCAAAATTATATTTTGTATTTGATTTATTCAAATAAAATATTATAGATAGGTTTTTTTTTAAAGGTAGTTGAAAGTGATGATGAACAAGAATTACTTTTCAGTATACCATTTAATGGTGCTCTAAAAATAACTGGTCTATGTGTTATTGGTGAAAATGATCCATCACATCCAAATACAGTTAAATTATATGTGGATATATCTTCTTCTACATGCAATAATGTTCAGTGTCTGTCTGTCTGTCTGTTTCTCTGTGCCGGGTCAAAGGTCAAAGGTCAAATAAGACTCTAAGGGAGAGATCTCTAGGGCCTATTTTATGGGGTACTTATAGATCCTCACGGGCTATCCTATGGGAGTACCCATAGGTTCTCCAGAGCTATCATAAGAGGGTACCTATAGGTCCGCCAGGGCTATTCTATGAGGGTATCCATAGGTCCTCAAGGGCTATGCTAAGACGGTACCCATAGGTCCTCCAGGGCTATCCTATGGGGGTACCTATACCTCCTCCAAGGCTCATCTATCAGGTACCCACAAGTTCCCAAGTGCTATCCTATGGGGGTAGCCATAGGTCCTCCAGGGCTACCCTACGGGAGAACGTATAGGTCCTCCAGGGCTACCCTATGGGGATACCCATAGCTCCCAAGTGCTATCCTATGGGGGTACCTAAAGGTCCCCAAGGGCTATTCTATGGGGGTCCCATAGGTCCTCCAGGGCTATGAGATGGCGGTACCCATAGATCCACAAGGGGACCCTACGGAGTACCGATAGGTCCCCAAGTGCTATTCTATGGGAGTACCCATAGGTCCTTCAGAGCTATCCTTTGAGGGTACCCATAGGTCCTCAAGGGCTATCCTATGGGGGTACCCATAGGTCCTCAAGGGCTATTTTATGTGGGTACCCGTAGGTCCTCAAGGGCTATTCTATGGCGGTACCCATAGATTCTCAAGGGCCATCCTATGGTGGTACCCATAGGTCCTCAAGGGCTATCCTATGGGGGTACCCATAGGTCCTCAAGGGCTATTCTATGGCAGTACCCATAGATTCTCAAGGGCCATCCTATGGGGGTACCCATAGGTCCTTAAGGGCTATCCTATGGGGGTACCCGTTGGTCCTTAAGGGCTATCGTATAGGAATACCCATAGGTCCTCAAGGGCTATCCGAGGGGGTATCGATAGGTCCCCAAGGGCTATTATATTGTGATACGCATAGGCCCTGAAGGGAGTAGGGCAATAGGGAGATAAGGCTACAAGGAATATAAGGCTGAAGGCTGCGTGGACTATAGAAATATGTGCGATATGAGAGTATGAGGTCGTAGGGGAGCCTTTCTATATTCATAATATCGAGTGTCTGTATGTATTTTACCGGATGAAAGGTTAAATGTCTGGGGTCATACATTAAAGGAGAAAACAGCCGTGCAGTATGCACGGGTTCTCGCTAGTTATTTCAATAAAGTAGGGGTTATGATTTATATATATATACATATGAATAGATGGAGTAATTTACCTGAATTACGTTTTGATAATACTCGTGGAAAAGCTCATCAAGAAATTTCACTTACATATGATCCATCGGGTACATTAGCTTATCAAGTCAAGTGAATATATTTGTTCTTTCAAAAAATTTTTAATCAAATATGTATTTTAGTCGATCACATTTTTCACGTGTAACACATTTATCTTTATATTTTTCTTCGAATTTCGGCGATGAAACAACTCGTATTTACTATATTGGTCTTCGTGGTGAATATCTTGGAGTGAGTGAATGTTATATTTCAATATGATTCTGTATGATTTTTTTCGTGTGTAGGAAGTAAAATCTAAAATAGTCACTACAACGTATGAAGATAGACCACAATTAAAAGATCACAAAGTGGATGATTTTTTAACAGGCAATCGTGAAATACAATAAACTAATGCTATTGTTTTTTTTATATTAAACTTGAAAAAAATTTTCTAAAATAAATTGTCACCTTGATTGAATTTGTTGTGGTGAAGTCTGAAGGATAAAGATTTTATTAGGTTTTGTTTTGAAGAGCGAAATCTAACTTTTATACATTATTTCAAATAATTTGAAAATTAATGATAAAAATCTAGCCTCCCTCCTACAGACATCGACCTAAAACTATTCAACAGTTTGCTTGACTAGGGTGTGGGTGTGGGGCCCAGAACGAGCATTACGGCGACCGGAAACGGCCGCATACGGCGGGTTTACGGCTGTATCTTCGCTGTATTTCGTGGGATCGTATTACGGCCGTATTTCGCCCTGCCGTATACGGCGTAATACGGCAACCGTATACAGCCGTATTTCGGCGATCGTATCAGGGCGAACTTTCTCTCATATTATAACGACAACACATCGGCATGCTCGCGTAAATCCTAGGGTTATCAAGGACGCTCTACAGAGTCCTAGATATAGGTATGGGACCCCAGCCAGCACCGCACTGACAAATAGAATTCCAATACTTCATCGGTCCATTTACTGGACCAATCAGATTTCAAGTGGAGTTTTCTCTCTTCGTATAAGGACAACATATAGGCATGTTCGGGCCGATCTTAGGGTTATCGAGGATGCTCTATCGATTGAGGGGTATATGTATGGGTCCCCACTAAGCTCAACACTGAGAATTCGAAACTCGCCCTTTCATTGACCCATTAATGAACCAATCAGATTTCAGGAGGACTTTTCTCGCTTATTATAAGGACAACATATAGGCATGTTCGGGCCGATCCTAGGATTATCGAGGATTCTCTATCGATTGAGGGGTATATATATGGGTCCACTCCTATCCCTTCCTAGAGATACAGCAATGCGGGCTTTGACTGATCCTTTAACAGGGCCGTTTTACGAGGTTTTATAATACTGGCGTATACAGCCGTCGCGTTGCCACGCGGGTCGTAATCGGCAACAGTCTACGGCCGATGTTTACAGTTGCTGGAGAATGCCGGAATGCATTAGGTACGACTGTTGTAAACGGCGATCGGAAACGGTTGAGGTATACAATGCCGTACGTTGTTTTCCGACCAAAGTATACAGTCGCTGTATTGTTACGGTAGCAGTTTACGGTTGACTTGTACGGTGAGCGTGTACGATTGACGTAATATACTGTAAAGCATCGTTTACTGCCGCCGTAAACAGCTACTGTAAACAGTCGTCTTTATTCGCCGTATTTGGCTAGTAAACGGCCATTCCCAGCCGAGCGTGATTGACCTGGGGGATGGGTGAGAGTGTGGGTGTGGATATTTGGGTGTGTGGGTGTGGGTGTGGGTGTGGGGTGTGGGTGTGGGTTGTGGTATGGGTGGGGTGTGGGTGGGGTGTGGGGTGTGGGTGTCGTCGAGTGTAGGTGTGGATATGAATGTAGGTGTGGGTGTAGGTGTGGATATG